ACCAATGTACGCTGTGGGTGGCCAAAAGCGGATAGGCACCAGAACCTCAGGGTCAATCTACCCTGTTCCAACAGGAAAATGAATGAGCAAAACATCAATATTTTCTAAATAAAGACATAATGTACTTTCCTACAGCCTTTGCTAACAAATAGACGCATATATTTAAACATCCGTAATTTCTAGATAAAAGGCGTAGTTTTCTGTTCTGGGGCGTAAATCTTTTCCATCGTCATTACTTACCTACTTGTATCAATAAAAATTCTGCATAAAATTGATATTTACAAGCACTAATATCCTGTTATTTATCTTTGATTTGACTGAAGACTCCTAGGCTACGTTCACACTGCAGCCTGAAGTGACCCAAATCTGATTTTTTTGTCCATATGCGACCTATATCAGATCTTTTCATTTCAGTCTTAACAACAGAGATCCGATTTTTTCCAATGCGATCCAGGCCGCTTAGCTATGTGGTCCTGAATCCGATACGAATCTGATCTTTTCAAATGCGACCTGTGTCTGAACGGCCAGGTCGGATTCATCCGACCTGAACGCCATTAATACCCAACAAAGGTCACTGCTCTGCTTCTTGCAGAATCTGCAAGAAAAACAACAGCCATGGCAGACGATGATGCGGTGAGCAGTATTTATGTTTAACCATATTGAAAAGATTGAGTTTTTATGGTTGGGAAAGATCCCTAGATACGCTCCAGCACTACAATCCATGTTTACTTCCGTAAACACGGAGCACACTGGCCTGTGACGTCATTGCGTCCTCTACTGCGCATGCGGGACACTTGCGTTGCATGACTGCAGTTCACACAGGAGATCACATAGAAGTCGCATATATTTGAAAATATGAGCGGCAACGCAAAAAAAAAATTTATTTCACAAAAAAAAATCAGAATTGAGCATCAAGGCCTGCAGTGTGAACATAGCCCTAGATGACTTGCAGAGACACATCATTTTCTCTTTACCCCTTATAACATAAAATCAAGTTCTGAAAAGAGCATGAATTCTGTACTTATCATCTTTGATGTTAGTATATTGATGTGTATAATTACCCACAAAATTATTATTTTTTTATATTCCTCTTGAGAGTATTACTACTGCCACCATCTGTATTAGAGGGGAAAAAATGGTAGGGGTGGCCAATGATTGGCTAAGGGTGGCCATGGCCATCCCTGGCCCCCCATCTAGCTCCACCCCTGCCTAAGGCAAAAAAAGATGGCAATATATTTAAAAAGTACATCATAATGAAGGGAGGAAACAACATTTAAAATAACCCCAAATAGAGCTAAATTGACAAAAAAAAAAAAAAAAAAAATACATATAATATGAAGGGAGACTTTAATGGTAGAGGAAATTACAGTTTGACAATAACAGCAGAGAATAGTTAGAACAGATGAAAATACCTTTATTGTCCCACAATGGAGTAATTGTGGTGTTTACAGCAGCAGCGTTTATAGCAATGGACCTTACAAGGTGTATAGAAATAACAGAATAAGTGACAGAGTTAAGAAAATAAACAAAATACTGTACTGTACAATGTTTTTACAATATAAATGCTATAAATCTGGAGAATAAATACCGTATTCAATATACAGCTGTGGACCTTTCTACAGTAATGGATATGTGAAAAAAAGCCACACCAGAGATGTGCAAAAATGACAGCAGAGAGAAACTGCAAAAATCAGCATGAATGTAACAGCTTATTGAGGTTGTTGGAAACAGTGGTTATAAAGTCTTACAGATGCTGGAAGGAAGGATCGGTGATAACGCTCTCTGGTGCATTTAGGGTCCAGCAGTCTGTTACTGAACTTTCCATGCTTCATGCATGGGATGGGAAACATTATCCTCCAGAGATGTTAATTTAGTTAGGATCCTTTTGTTTCGCACCTCCTGCACTGAGTCCAGTGGGCATCCAATCACAGAGCTGGCCTTCCTGATCAGCTTATCCAACTGAATCAAAGAAAATCTTTAAGAGTGCCTCCTGCACTCCAAAAGACCTCAATCTCCTCAGTCTGCTCTGACCCCTTTTTTTGGGAGCCTCAGTGTTGTAAGTCCACTGGTGTCAGTGGGGTGGATCTTCAAAATTCACCACCAGATCCTTGGTTTTCCCTGCATTAATCAGGAGGTGGCTCCACTCAGTTAGGGTAGCCATCCTAAAATTAGACGGTGGTGAGTTTGATTTCAACTTGTGCAGTTGTTCCCCGAGGCTACTGTATTAACTTCAAGTACCGTAGTCTGTGTGTGCGGTTGTATGAATGTTCAAAGGAATGTGTCTCTTTGGTACATTGTTTTGAGTGGTGAAAGAAAAAACAATGAGACAAATTCTAAAGAGACTGACCGGAAATCAAAGCTTTTCCTTCTGCAAAAAGGGAAAACAAACCTAACAGAATAAGCAAAATTGTTTAGCAATATAGAGGATTCTTAATCAATCTAAACTGAATACAAAGAATGAAAACATCCCCATAGCAATATGCTGCCACCACTGTGCATCACTGTGGGGAGGGTGTTATACTTTATAAAAATAAAACATTATGTTCCTTACATTTCAAAACATGCCCGCTCTTTGTGTTGGTCAGTCACAGTAATTACATTTATGTGTGTGGTTTTAACATTAGAATATGCATGTAAGTTAATGGTGTGCACATTTATTATGAGGTAAACATCTAGCCACTTCTGTAAATAAGGTTTTACATAATTTCACCCAACATGCATCACTTCTTTCATTTCCTATGGTTTCAAGGCCCAAACCAAATTGATTGACTAACAGCTACGTCTGAACCACAGTGGCTTGACCTTCGCTGCATGGTTCAAAAGCTTGTCCATTATGAAACTCCTAGTGAGCTCTCAGACTGTGAGGCTGCCTCTCCACCTGCCCAGTCTTCATCACTTCATTATCTTTTTGCAGAACTCTGCAGAATGATCCATGTTTGGACCAGCGCAACCCTTTATGAAAGCAGCAGTGTACCCTGACTAAGAACACACAGCGTCCTGGTTCTTTAATTTTCCTTTCATATAGACTGACCTGCTTTGTGTCTTCTGTTGACAGGTCTACCTGACCTGTGAACATGTTCACATCTCACCCCCGAACAGATCCCAGCTCCACACCTGCTGGTCTGAGAGCAGCAGATTGACAGATTAGATAAACCACATCTCTTCTACTCTATATAAGAGCTGCACTTTAAAGTGCGGGAGGCAGACTGACAAATTATTGACTGTAATAATATCCTGATAAGAGCTGAATTTTTAAAACATGTGTAAGGGACTCTCTTACCTGCCTTCCTCCTGCTTGGAGAGGTAAGTGTTCATCAAGGATAATTTGTGACTACGTTGTTGAATCTGAAGTGTTTATAATGGAGTTTCATGTGTTTTCAGGGCAAAAGGGATGCGAGTGAAGCTGAGCCATCTGGCTGAGATCCACCACAAGCAAAAGTAACCAATCTAAGCCTTTTTACCAGTTTCATTTCTGGCAGTAAAGACGATTTTCTAATAATTTATTAATATTTTATAGGGTCCAGGATGGAAAAATCCTGCAAGATCTGGAAACTCTCCTGAGCAGCAAAAGTAAGACTCTCCATTTCTGTTTGAAATCTAGTTTAGGAGTGTGTCGTGGCACCATTCATGCGAAGAGAAAGCCCCAATTGCAAATAAACATACATATTTAACAGTTCATGTTTCTATATATTATGCACGGTCAACCTTTACAGAAAAAGAAGCATTTAATGATCATTCCTTGAGGTTTATTACAAATCTGACAAATTATACCCATATATTGCAACACCCATTGCATAAGGAAGTTAAAATAAAGTAGAACTAAATCTTGTGATTCATGTCATTATGCTTACACTTAGATAACATACTATATGCACATGATTTTAAGAATGAATTGAAATATTTTTCTGTGTTAATAGCATCTATTTAGCTGCATGTGTTGATCACTACTGTCAATGTTTCATTTATCTATTGCTCTGCATTTTATCCAACATAGCTTTGTGTTGGAGTAAAATAAAAAATAAATACAACTTTTATTGATGAAGAAATAAGACAGTTGTGATATTGTTAATTTGTCCAATAGACTGATGAGAATCCTACATCACATGCTCAGTTTAAACCATCTTTGCTCCCACAGGAGAGAACGATCCATCACATAATTCCTTCAAGGAAAATACAGATAAAAAAGTATAATTTATATAATGATTACCTTTTTTATGATTGCATCTACACTGTTTGTATGAACCACTTAACAGCTATGTAGTTTGAATCAGCTGTTTCTTAGCTTCTAACAGGCATAGACAACTAATGTTTTAAGCAAGCACGGCTGGTTTAATGATGGTACTAATGGCGAGGGACAGGAGCGACAAACTGCTGCAAATTGATCTCTAAAGGCTTAATCTAATTGGGTATATCCTACATCTTCTCTTCGGGTATTTTTTTTTTCTAATGAGACAGACAAATGAGAAATAGTTAAATAAGCCAACAATTTGATTAAAGAAAATTGCATAAAGTTGTATTCATTTTTAAAATGTTGCTATTGTATCTGTAAAGTAACAACTGTTGCAACTGTCCCCACTCTCCCCTAAGCAATCTAGTGTCTTAAATAGAGGCAATCTTAATAAATTTTAAAGAGAAAAAAAACAATTGTCATTTTCTACTATACCCTTTAGATCAATTGATCTAGACATCATACATTTTTATCTGAGTGTAGATAAGACCCGACACAGAAACCTTCTTGGTCTTTATCAGAAAAAAGAGTTAAAAGAAACTAATCTTACCCAATTCAACAATCTTCACATTAAGTAATGCAGATCAGTTACAAACAAACTTCTGTGTTTCTGGAACTTTGTTGTAAAGTTGCTGTTGAAGCAAATTTTGGAATCATATATCTGAGCATTTTTTTCTATTACGTGTTTTTTGCTGGTTCAAAAAAAGTTTAAGGATAAGACAATGATTAAGAAAATATATAAAACCTGTTTTTTAAATTATCTTTTTATTTTGAGAAACATGTTTGGTTAAATAATAGTTTAAATTGTTCAATAATCTGTTGTCTTTCGCTTAACATCAGAGTAAACATTCAGATATCTGTTGCTCTGTAAAAGTCGTATGAGGATCTATAACCTCAGAAATACTGTCCATAATTAAGACTTTCTGGTTTACATTAACTGGTAAATGTTTACAGCTTTGAGAAAAATTGGCTTTGTAAAAACTCTTGATAAAGAAAAACAAGTTGTTAGGATAGAGACATCATCAGCTGGCAGGAGGCCAAACCTGCAGCCTGTGTCTGGAGATCTGGCTTTAGTGCTTTTCCTTTCATGTTTAAATCAATTTCCTCTAGCTGCTCTGTCCTTTGTGTAACTTTGTCCCTGTCCTTTCAGTTGGCCTTCAAGCCTTTCGAGGTTTCCTGCGTTCAGAGTTCAGCGAGGAGAACCTGGAGTTTTGGCTGGCCTGTGAGGACTACAGGGTTTCTCCTTCAAAAATGCAGAAGATCAAAGCCATTAGCATCTACAACCAGTTCATCAACCCCGACGCCCCGCTGGAGGTCGGTGCAGAGGGATGCAGCGCTGAGCCTGAAGGATGTATAGGAATAATCAAGCCTGTTTTGACCACCTTTGTTTTTTTGTTCATTGCAGGTGAACCTGGATGCTGAGACCCGTGAGGCTCTGCTGGCGATGATGGACTCTCCGTGTGCAGAAACCTTCAACAAGGCGCAGCAGAGGATCTACAGCCTGATGGCCAAGGACTCCTTCCCTCGGTTTCTTCGCTCTCATCACTGCGCGGAGGCCATAAAGGCCTTTTAAACTTTTTACCAGCTTCACAAACAAATCTTTTCGATGTATCATTTATTCTAGCATCTTTTTAAGTCATGTATGCCTTATTACATGCTGTTGTAACATTGTAGCATCATAATGCTTACACATAGATGCAAAAATACATCATTTCTGAACTGCATAAGCTACTCACATTTAAAAAGATTCAAATAAAGTCTTGAATAAATAAAAAACACTAAGTGAGCTGTGTGTGGATTCATTCAACATATTCATTTGACAAATGAAGCTTTAATTGTATAGAAATAACACAAAATTCACCACAGGGATTTTGAAGACAGAGTTTGTCCCTGTTTAAACTAAGATCGGATTTGTGTGATCCCATTTCAGCTGTCTTAGAAATCTTCCTTTCATCCTGAACAATCATTTATGTGTCAGGTAAACATCAGGACTCCTTCATACAGGTTGGTTTCGGCAAACGTTCTCTAATCTGGAATGGGAAGAGTTTATTTCACTGTACAAAGAAAAACACTTTCCTGAAAGAGGAGAGAAACAACCTGAAGATAAAACAAAAACTGAAAACCAGGCTTCCACCAATCCGCCGGCGACCCAAACAGAGGTTTATATAAAGTCCTCAGTCCACAACCTGAAGCTGATGGGATCCAGGTCTGCGATGGTCCTATTTGGTGCTGGTTCCAGGCTTTCCTTTCACCTCAGCCCCTTTAACCACAGCCAGAGGCTTATGGAGGGAGGAACTGGCCTTCTGGGTCACCTCCTGCTCAATCTTGTTTCTGATGGCAACCTCCAAGCCCTATGGGGGAATAAACCACGATGAAATCAAAATAAAACTAACATCTTTATACATTAGCAGATTGGTATTTTTAATCACCTTCTTTAGCTTTTGTTGCTGAACCACTTGGGCCTTTTTAGGCGCGATAACCCTTCCTTTAAAAAGAAATAAATTATATAGTTGACCAACATCTCGGTACGTTTATGTACTTCATGTTATGTAATATCAAATAAAATTTAGCTGATAAAATAGAAAATTCATTGTATTAAAAAGATAAGTCTAAAACATGTCTATAAGACATGTGTTTGGTCACATGTTTATGTTGAGTTATGGCTTTTCTTTCTTTTCGTGGACCGAAACTACAGTCATAATTCAGATTAAAGTCATACCTCCTTTCTTTGGCCCCTTCGGTTTGTTTTGTTGGTGTTTCTTTGAGGCTCCGGGACGCTGAGCCTTGAATTTCTTTGAGCCTTGAGCCATTTCTACTGAGAACGAATACTGACTGCTTCTTCGTCACACCATTCAGGCGGTTAAAGTCCGAGTTGATCTTATTAGCGCCCCCTACTGGTTCATTAGGGCAAGCTTGAATCACTTTTGCATGTATTCTATATAATGGTCATTAGTAGACAACTTTTCGGTGCTTATCACTACCAACACGTACTAACTACATATTTTTATGTCAAAATGAGCATAAAATTAAGAGGTTAGATTTATTATTCTTGATAAAATATTATTCTTGACGTTTATCAGTTGAATGTTCCTCTCATTTAAATACTGTATTTTTTAAACAAAGCAAATGATACAAATTCAAGGTTTCTGTTTTCTGCACTATTCTCTAAAACACATCCTTTAAAAGAATCTTGCACAATAATCCGTCATATATCTCATTTTAAATTTAGATGATTATGGCTTACAGCTAACGACAATCATACCCCCTGCCCCCTTTATACATTTTATTTATTTTATAAAATTATTTATAAAACAAATAAAAATGATAAAGAACAGTAAAATATGTTATGGTCCAAGTAATTATTCAGATGACTGCTGGCTGAACAGCTGACAGCATTGAGTGTAGTAATGTGTTGTTGCAGGCAGCTTATGTTTTCTTCCTTTTCTTTTTCATACTTAAATGTTTAAGGTAACCAAGCCATTTCCTAATAAAAAAAAACAAAAAAAAACACAAAAGCAAAGTTGACTCACTTAAGGTCATTGCCAAAAAGGGCACAAGGGGCTAGCCTTACACAAACCAAGTAACATCTAATTTTTTTCTGCGAGTGCCTTAACAATAATGCTATGGATCTCCCCTACAGAAATGGACAGCTAAAACTGAAACCCATTCAGCAGCTAGATCTGTGCAGAAAACTACAGAAATCACATCTCCTGAATCCACCCCTTTGATTTTTGCACAGTGTTTCAAATGGATGCACTTAAAAAGGGCTACATTTATTTAAAATGCAGTGTCATTCCAGGTGCATTCAGTGCGTGGAGATTTCCAAAAATTTTTCTTCAGCCCATTACAACCACAGTCTTCATCGTATTTTATCTTATAGACCGACATGAAAAAAATGCATCAATTTAAATTGAAAGGTGTGCAACCATTATCTAATCAGTTAATCTGATAACTAATGGGGGGGCCGATAATCTGCAGATTGCAATCTCAACAAAATTTCCAGCCCAAACAAAAAGACAAAACAATTAATGTTTCACTGTTTTATTCTTTTTTTTTTCTGTATCCATGTGAAAGAAAAACCTTTTCCTTCATCCAGTTTGGACCTATTTCCACATCACAAACTTAAACAGAGATAAAGTGATTTTCAATAAAGACAAATTTGCACTTAAAGAGGCCACCTGAACAACACTTCCTCCACTGTAATTCATTTTTCCCATAACCCACGAGCACCTTGCTTTGATCGAAGTCAATGTGAATTTTTGGCACCACAGAACCTGTTGGTGTTTTAACCTTTCAAACCCAGCGATGATGCACTGCAGCTTCAGGACATGCTGTGAAACTGTTAATTCTGCTAAAAATCCAGAATCTATTCACAAAAAAAGCATCACTTTGGGTTAAAGAGCCGATAATAATTTCACTCTGGGTTCCAGCGCCCTGCTGCAGTGAGTGCTCGTGTACAGAGTCCATGCAGGCAGACGGAGAGGTAGTGTGTTTGGCTAAGGAAGGCCTCCTCAGCGTGGCGTTCTAATGGCCTACTTAGAGTCACAATGATAATCAGGGATTTAAACAGAACACAGTCAGACAGGTATAATTACCATTGACAAACAAACACTGACCTCCCCTCCCTTCAAAGAAAAAGAGACGGGGTTTGTAACGGATTAAACATGTTCATATTTGCTACATACTTGTGGAGATTCATCAAAAAAGTGCCTCCGAAATGTCTAAAACTGTACAAAACAAAAGAGACATTTGTTCTTTACGCTGGCATATGACCAAGCTTTGTGAGCTGGTTAAATGGGAGAGCAAAACACAGTGAGACATCTTTTTATAAAACATATGATAGAGTGATAGATACTATGATTCAAAGTTTTTTTTTTTTCTGGACAAAAACTGCATTGAAGTTGCAGGTTAATATGAAACCAACAGCAAAATCAAGACAATAAGGATTATTAGTGGGAGCCCCCCTTTAAATTTTTTAATCATATAATGTTTATATGTTGTTTAAAAAGAAAAATTATTTAAACTGTAACAGCAACAGACTGATTGTCTACACCTATGCTCCACTGTTTATCAATCAAGCCGCTGATATTTGTAAGGATTACAGTGTAAGGATTTTCAGAATAAAAGTCCACCATATGAGTAGCTGGGCATTCTTCAAAGAAAACAGCCTCCAATTTGGTTTCAAGTAGTTAATTTAAGTTGAATTAAAAGCTGCCAAATTTTGAAATTTTCTTTTCTCCAAAAAACAAAAAAAACCTTTTAGATAGCTTAAGATGTTAAGGTAAAATGCTAACCATTTATATAACATTGTGAGCAATTTTCAAGCAATTTGAAAAAATAAAATAATTTCAACCCACCTACGATATGTTTAGTTTCGCCAATTTCTTTAAAAATATTCTCATCTCATAAGCGTCGCTGTGTAATCAAATCATAGAAAGGTAGCACATCCTCTTAAAACAAGAGTCCCCTCACAGGGTTTGGCTTTCTACATATATATATATATATATATTTATTTATATATTTTATTCCTCTAACTACATCACAGTGCTACACATGGATACACATGTTCAGATAATCAACTTAAAAATGTATATGTAAACCTTAGTTCATTTTTATTTATTTTTTTTTACAAAAATGTTGAGATTCTCATATTTATTGTTTGCTGATTTTAGCAGTTTTGATTCACCTCTGAAGTGGGATCCCCTATCTGTGAATGACATGTAGACGCAGGCTGGAGGACCAGTGGGAGGAGCTAAATGATGCGGATAAAAACACGAGATGATCAGAAACGGCACTATGAATATTCACCTTTCTCCACATTTAATGGTTTGAAAATAGTTAATATTGGAACAAAGACCCACAGAAAAAATATGATAAATTATTAGAATTTCCCATCACTTAATTCCTTTAACGTTTACTAATTTATATGGATGGCGGCCATATTGAATTGGCTTGCAGAGATAAAAACAACAAAAAAAATCCTCAGTGCAGAACAGCTTTTTGTGGAGGAGGTTTGATGGTATGGAAAGAAAAAGGCCTCCAGTGATGGAGGCAACTTCAAGGCAGGGAAAGGGAGACAATATTCTGCAAAAAAACCTCTTTAGTTTTCAAGCCACAACTCTATCCTCCCAAATCTCTGTGTTCTCTGCTCTAGATTGGGATTCATCAGAGACTACTGCAAGAAATCTCAGAGAGCAGATCCCACTGGTTTCCTACTTTAGCTCTGCTCCAGCGTGGCATCCATAGTTTATCCAAAATCAAAATTCAGATACTAATCGAGCACAGCACTAGAAATAATTGTCAAAAATATTTTTTTCAGCTCCTGAAATGCTCTTAAAGGAACAAGAAAACTGGCAACTACATCTGATCAACCCTTAAAATATTTAAGTGGCGGTTAAGTGGCTAAGATCGGAGTTATTTCTAACCGTGTGATGATATGAACCTGATATGTAATTATCCTGAACCTAAAGAGAACAGAAACGAATGTGTGGCTTTGAGTGGAAGCTCAGTTGAAGGTCTGGGGGATCAGAATGAAACATTGATTTAATAAAAGAGGGAGGACGAACCCAAACAGCTGAAAGCACATTCTGCTGTGAGCACAGAGGCAAATAGTCACCAAGAGTCTGAAGCCCTACGACAGAGAGGGCTTTTACATTCAGATAGTGAATGGAATTGCCGTGTTTGTTGCAGCACTTATTTTAAAATACATTTACTCCCCGAATACACACCTGGAACCTTAAAGGAACAGTCCACCTTTGCTACGGTCAGTGCGGTCAAACCAGCTGGATAATAAATAGCTACCCAACAAGTAGATGTTTAAACCCTTTTTGTTTTACATAAAATTTGTAATCCTGATTATTGTTTAATCATTTAAGAAATTCAATTTTAGAGATGCACAAACTGACATGACAAAATAAAAATTTCTCTCAGTTGGCTCTGATGTGCATCTGAAATACTGAAAAAAAAATCCCACCATGTCTGTATTTCCCTATTGTTAAAGCCAACTGCTGCAATTTTTTGTCTCGCTCAACAGTTTCCAAGTTTAAGAAACTGAGGGTCAGTCAGAAAAAAAGGTGTTCTTGTGTTCAGACACTTTAAGTCCAGCCTTCTCCATACCATGTTGATGTGCCCCTGGGCAAGGCACCTGACCCTAAATTCCCTGTGATGTGCTCATCAGAATACCAATATGGAAGAGTTAGTGCAAAGTGCTATGAGTGAGCAGTCAGAATAGAAAAGGTTTGTTTTTTTAACGGCAGAGGTAAGCAGTTTCTACATGGCAGAAATGTGAGCTGTTTACAATCCAAGGAAATTTAAAAGACTATTGGCAAAGAAAGAGTTGGGAAATCCAGGACAGACCTGATCCATTAAGTAGTTGTGTGTCATTTTTAGTTAATGGCTTTTAGAAAATCATCCTAATGTTTTATTAGGGGTGGACCAATTGATAGATTGGCACAACATTGCTGGAGACAGGCAAACTCTTGTAGGATTGGCTTATCAAAGGGTGGAGATAAAAACAAAAAGATTTTTTTCCTGGTTCATGAGTGTTTTTTTGTTTTGTTTTTTTGCAATTAATAAAAAACAGATAGAGGTGTATAGGATGCATAAATAGTGATGTTTTAACTCCAGGGAGAATGGAGTGGAAGATCAATAGACAGATCAGTGAGGCTTCTGCTTTGATGCATACATTTCACTGGTCTGCTGTGGTGAACAGAGGGCTGAGTGAAAGGCCGGAGCTGTCGATTTACCTGTCTGTAAGTAAAATCTGGATCATGATCGAAAGGAGATTCCAGCTCCAAGCAGGTGAAAGAGGGCTTTACTCTTCCTTAGAGATATCGAAAGAAGCTCCGTCATCTGGAGTAAAGCTACTTCTCAAAATTGAGAGGAGTCAGCTGAGGACATCTTTTTCAGATGTCCCCTAAACGCCTCCCTTAAGAGGTGTTCCAGGTGTGTCCCGCCAGGAGATGACCCGGGCGCTCTGGAGGAACTATGCCTTTTGGCTGGCGTGGAGGCCCCTCATGCTTCCCCTAGCAGAGCTGCAGGCGTCTGCGGAGAGGGAAGTCTGGGAGTCTCTGCTCAGACTACTGCCCCTGTGACCCGGCCCCAGACAGAGCAGAAAATAATGAATAAGGTTCAATTGAATTACATTTTTTAATTAATAGTGGAACTATTTGAGTTATTTTTATCTTATTTTTAGTAGCCTTTGTGAAAAGAAAAGGGAATCTGACCTGGCAGGTGTGACCTCAAAGAAAGCAGCACCAACCTCTTCTCCAAAACAGCTCTACATGAGGCTGAAGGAGCTGAATGACAGCTGCAACCCATCAGGCTTCATAAAGGGACATAATCCAAAGACTGCAAAGAAGGCTGCTCAACTGGCTGAGCGGTTTGTGGTCGTTAGGCGGAGGAACCCCTGTGAGCTTTCTAAAGCTAGAAAAAGGGACGCTCACAATCGACCTCCAGCCCAACAGGTTTCAGGGAAGAGACTCAAAATATTGGTACCTGGAAATCCAACCCTACAAGCCCGAGATATTGGGCTGTCACCCAGAATACTACAGCTGACTTCTTGCCCCACAGAGAGCCTTTAGAGGGAGGAGGAGTGGGTGGTGGAGGCTGCTACCACCACCTCAGCGTTAGTGATGTTCTGTCATTTATATTAGAAGTTATGGAAGGTGGTAATAATTGATTTATTTAGAGACAAAGTGCACACTTTGTCTGACTGGTTTACATACTTGTTTTCTCTTTGAGGTTCTGCAAATACAGACCAGCTGGATGTGTTGGCCTTAGTTACTTTTGCTACTTTAACATAAAACTTTATCATTTCCATTTATTATTCAAAGGAAGTTTTGCTTTATTCATTTATATGTTCCTTCTGTTAATTTTTTATGCTTTTTGTTACTATATTATGTTGTAACTTCCTTATATGGCAAGTTTAAAATCACTGCACCCCTAATTAAGCAGTCTTTCCTTTTTACTGCAGTTTTGTTTGTGTTGTGCTTATTTGACCTTAGTTGAATTTGACCTAAATCATTAGATTTATGTTTGCATTTGAGTTTTAACTGGTGTTAAATTTTTCTTTTGGCATTATTAAATTGAACTTTGCCACATTTTTGATTAACATTTGTCCTCGTTTATGTCAGGTCCCTAACAGATGCATTTACAGATTCAAGACCTTTAATGCTTAGCTTTAAAAAATAGGTAATAAAGTAATGGCTTTAAACAAACCTTTATTGGCTATTTTCCAATATTTTATTAATGGATAATGATTTATTATTGACAAGAGTTGTAGAAAACAAAAACTTCCATTTAAGATTTAACTATTCCTTAAAAGGTTAGGCTTTTATAAAGTTCCCACCCAGGCTCCCTGTGTCCCACATACTTGTTGGTATAATGAAAGTATATACGTGTGGTATATTACAGCACAGCCAGTGAGATGAAGACATGAAGTGAGGTATCAGTACAGCTGTGTCCTGTAACACAGGACAGCTTGGCAAAAAAAAAAAAAAGGAGAAAAAAAAAGGGGGTTTATTTTCTTGTATCACCAAGAAAGGCTGTGTGTCAAAGTCTATGAGCTATAATCACAATTAGAGAAGAAAAAAGACTGACACTGAAAAACATAAATTAAATGTTAATATAACATTTCAAATAGCAAATCAGATTTTTAATAACCATATTTTTTGGTTAAAATAGCAATACTTTTTTTTTTAACTAGCAGAGGTTAGTTTTCTACATATGTACAGACTACCAGCAGGGAGTAAATATTTACAATATGGTAGCAGCATTCTGAAAACCACGACTGATATGTTATCAAAGGAGTTAGTCCCTTTTTTTTTTTGTTTTGTTTGTGTGGCTTTATTTTTTCCCCCCCATCAGCTAGTCATTTACTTTGCCCAATTGAATTAGGATGAGTCAAGCTGAGCTCCGTTTGCTGCAGAACCTGATTGAAAAGAGTTTTTAAAAAAACAGGGAAATGAGATGCGGGATGGGGAAGAAGCGAGACGTGAAAATTACTGAACGAGAATCTAAAAAGAAAGAGACTGCTTACATTTTGACCCCCTGCTCTGAAAAATCCTGTCTTTTTTTTTGTTTGTTTGTTTGTAGCTGGCAGATTAAAGATTTTTGGACAGTGCACCACTGACACGTTACAGCGACTGTGCATTGATTAAAACAAAAGCAAACCACAAACTGTGCACCCTCAGTGAAGACAAGAGTGTCCTTTAGAGCATGTGACGTGGATGTGCAGTAGTGCATCAGGGCCAGCAGGAGGCGAGGGGAGGCTTTCTAGAGCGCGGTGAGGCGACCCGTGAGCGCCGCCTGGAGCTCTGACGGGAGGAAGACCCCAAGCTCGGTGATGATGCCTCCAGTGATGAGCTGGTGAGGCGTCACGTCGAACGCCGGGTTCCACACCTCGACACCTGCAGCGAGGGAACGGTTGGTATGTTACACATTATCTTTAACTACATAATAAATAAAGACACATCAGATGAATTTGAGCATCTACTTCTAGGCATTAACTCCATCTCTGCACAGAATTATATTATTAGTTTAAATACACATAGGATCCATTCAGAGGAACATCAATATAAAAAAAGATCTAGCAGCTGAGTAACTTTCATTGGGGTATTAGAAAACAAAAGATTTAGAGAAACAAAACATTCTGTTTTTGGCTGAATAAAACAACATTTTTTTCAGATAACCACTTTATATATCTTGATGCCACTACAGACTGTAGCAAAATGCTTTCTTTTTTATAGTTTTTCACTCTGATCCAAGAGATTTACCTGTGTGGATGGATAATAAATAGCTGGGTGTCCATTACAAATCTGCAAAAACTATATCTATATTCTGCTAATTCCACAAATACCAAGTTTCATAATGGCGGCAGTTCCATTTAATAACAAATACAATTAAAATGGCATATGAAGAAGTTTGTTCACGTGAAAACTGCAAACTTAAAGTTTTTCTGATGTGACATCCACTGTCCTCATAAAATTCATGACTTGTAAACCACTGTAGTGAAGTATTGATTTATACATAAATCTTTTCTTTTGCATATTCTTTTCACTGCTGCCAAGTGTAACTTGTACTCTACAGCTCAGTAATCTATCCACAGAAGTAATCTGCTGAGTTGCTGGTAGAAATGGGAGTTCTGCTGCAGACTGTTGCTTTAAAGCTCTTCTATTATTCTACATTTGAAAAGAAAAACTATTATCAATAAGGCCCCCAGAGAATGTTTTTGCTGTTTGTGGAGGAAAGTTGCTCCGAGATTCGATAGATAGCCTTTACCAAAAAGGTCTTTATTCAGCCTTCCACCAGATGAGCTCTTTTGGTTTTCCATGCCCTTGTTCTACTGTAGGCCACGCCCCCCACAACCATGACATTAGTTAGCAGTGGTTAGGTGCTCCTTAGTAAGGTCTCCAATTTTACATTTCTCAGAAAAACTGCAGCTTTGTCTGTGGGCGGAGTGTTCAGTGTTCTGCATATAGCTTCTCTCCTCAGCTATCTTCATCTTTCCATCATGCTTTTTAAATATACATATCCTCACTAATAGACCCAATCAGAGAAAAGCACAGGTTTTGTACACATATGCAAGCTTTATGTGTCAGCCAAATAGACACTGGCATAGAGAAAACACCTGCTTGCTGTCTTCCTAATGTTCTGCAGAGACAGAGTTAGCAGGCCTGGTTCTCAAATCTTTGGCTTCTTCTTCTGAAGACGACCACAGCTGCTGCCAAGTCAAAAGACTGGAAGAAGATTTAATCAGCACCACGGCCCTGGTGTGATCCTCAAGTCCCATCATGAAGTTATGTAGAGAAATCCTGCTTATCTGCCGCTAATTCTTTCTATAATTATAACAAATTGATTTTTAAAGTGTTTTTCCAGCACTGCATCCTGTCTCCGTTACATTGTCTGCTCTACATTACTTCTAGTTGTGAGGATGTATGTGCAGAAAATGCTGCAAATAGAAACTGCAAAGATCAGAAGCCAACAGTCAGTTTATGGAGGCCCAAACAGCACAGGGATTACATGTTTGGCACTTATTCTTTACTTGGCAGCCCTTCTGTAATCATTTAAGATTCAAAATTTAAAAAAAGTACTAAAACACATTTGTACATTTTGACTTTCTTTTCTAACAGTAGGTATATAAGTTGTTTTTATTTGATCAGTTTATAGCATACATTTTTGTTCTAACTAGTGAGAAAAAACAGAAGTGATATTGTTTTTTTTCCTACCATAAAATAGGCCAATTTTATATAAAATACATCAACTTGGCCCAGGGCTCATTAGAACCAATATCTTAATGCCACTGCACTTATGATAAAGTACCAAATGACTATTTTGAAATGACTTTCAAACAGCAACAGTAACATGACTGCAGAAGAAAAGAGCAAAGAAATCTATAAGCACCAATCTTTCAGCCCTGGGGCTTTGGACTTACTGAAACTGGTTTAATTACTGAGCTGTCACTGCAGCACAATTGGTAAAAAATCCAGTTATTCAAGTTATTTGGCTCAAATAGAACAAAACCACAGGCTAGACTTTGACTCTAAGGACTTTTGTCCTCTAAGGACATTTGTGTGCAACCTGATCAATGCATTTGCTTTGTCTGCAAGTCAGCACAAAAATGCAACAATCTCACTTTACAAGTGGAGAACTTTGGAAGCCCTGAAGTCTGAGATAAAAAGGCTAAAAAGACGGACTTTTATTCACCTCTGTCTGTGATCTAATGAACAATTAAACTTCACCATCAGGGCTGCAGATATTATTATAGTAATTGATAAATCTATGAACTGTTTTGTTTTTGGTTGATCTAAAAAAGAGAAACTTTTAGTAACTTCACAAAAAACAAGCAAATGTTTTGATAAAAAAAGAAAAGAAAACCAACATGTGCTGCTCATTTCAGCTAAGATAAGACAGAGCAGGGGTATCATTTCAGTCCTACTTTTTACAAATGAGAAAAACAACATTAGGATGAAACTTATTAATTCTTGTAAAACATGGAAACATTATATACAAAAGAAATCTAATCTGATTTACATAATGTCTCACAATCTTTACTCACTATTAGCACTAGTTTTATCCTCCCCTTTAGGGCAATAAGATTAACAGTCATGTTATCAAATCTACATGCCAGTAAGACACTCAGGCTGCATACAAAGATTACTGCATCCCGCTGCCATATTGTTTATTATTTTTGCCTTTTACTGTTTATTGCTAATTTATTAACATGTATATTTCTACAGTAACATTGCATGTTTGAAGGGACAAAACAAAGAGGTAATGAGCTAAAAGTTAAATAAAGATGCCAAAATAATAAAGAAAAGTTCAAGATTCAGTGTGAAAAAGCGCAAAACAATTAGTTCATTTTAATAAACAGCGCTGGGGCTACAGTCTGAGCATTGGTGTTGACTGAGGTAGATGCTAAAGCTGCAGAGGCATTTAGAGTAGAAGGATTTGTGCAGGAAAGTCCTTATTTATCAGTAAGTAACTCTTCAACCTTCATAAAACATTTTCATAACTTTTGTGATTATACGTCGACTTACAACTAGTTGAATGACACCTCTGTTATGGTCCAGGAGGGTCTGTATCGCTTTAACAGACACTAAGCAGTTTTGAGGAGGGTGGCAGTAACCCTTCCACACAAAACAAGCACAAATGTGCAAACTGCTTTATGGCATACGTTGCTTCCCCCTTCCCCATAAAGACGGAAGTTGTTGCAACTAAATTTCCATAAGAGACTGTATATTCATGCAACTAGTTCAGGGTTGATATTAAGGGAATGCAGCACCTTCCTGCTCACTGTGAAAATCTATAAAATAAAATATCTATCAATTTTAAGGTTCAAAACTCATCAGAATATCGAGCCGGGTTAGGTGGGGGGAAGGGGGTGAGCCGGCGGTGCAGGAACAGAACCAAAGTTAAACATTTCTTATAAACATCGCCATTGTTTTGCCAGTTTCATTACCCTTATCACCAAATGAATAAAGCACATGTTAGAGAGGCTTGAAGTGGATTTCATTCTTTTTCAACTAAAGATCTAAAAATGTTACTTGTAATAATATTCAAGAATCATAGATTAAAGTACAAGTTGTGAACTATGCTGCTTTTATCCTTTGTGGACAAACTTCCTTAACCCTGAGTTTAGTACTTATTTTTTGTATTTTAGATAAAAATAATAACCAAAGGTCCCAGTCAATCTGAATTTAGAGTTCCCTAGAGACTGTTGGTCTTGTGCAACTAAAATATATATAAACTGCTGTGCTCCGTTTGGCAATGCTGGGAACTCTCATGTGATTGGCTCAGGAACCAGGAAGTAAACACAGGCTACACACTGTTATAGTTTGAAAGGAGAAAGGCTTGACATTCTTAGTCATCTGAGATGGAAGTAAATCCATCCCAGATGACTAATGAGATTGATTTCACAGTAATCTCTCTCTTATTTTTCCTGATCCACTCAAGCTTCCTACCTGGTGCAGCGATGGGGACTCCGTTTATACTGGTGAGCTCCTCAGGGGGTCGGACTTCAATGATGATGTCCCTCCCGCTCTCAAGACTCAAGTCACATGATGTGCTGGGTGCAGCTACGTAGAAGGGGATCCCATGGTGCTTTGCAGCGATGGCCAGCTGGTAGGTACCCACCTTGTTGGCTGTGTCACCGTTTGCGACGACCCGGTCAGCACCAACAACCACAGCTGAGGGAGGAACGAAGGGGTTAAGTAATGAAGCAGAAAAATGTGACGCCGTCTTCAAGAGTCTTACCTGAGATGTTCATTTCCCTCATGGTGAGTGCCGCCATGCTGTCAGTGATGAGCGTAGCAGGGATTCCCTCTGCGACCGCCTCGTACGCAGTCAGCCGGGACCCCTGGTTGTAGGGCCTCGTCTCTGTGCAGTAAACGCGCTTCAGCCGGCCCAGAGCATGGAGACTTCTTACAACGCCTGCGCACAGAGACGGTGTTACGACCATAGGGACAGAAACACACACAGGCTTCTTTAAATCGCATCCAAAGCTCCAGTCTCACCCAGCGCCGTGCCGTAACCGGCCGTGGCCAGAGAGCCGGTGTTGCAGTGCGTGAGGATGGTCACAGAGTCCCTCGGGACGCCGGAGAGGATGTGCTGGGCTCCATAGTTACCGATCTTCCGGTTGTCGTTAACGTCACGCTCCAGCATGTCTTCAATCCATGAAATTACACTGCAGGAGAGGAAGAGAAGGAGGGGTGAATTCAGAGGTGGGAAGAGAGAAGAGGCTGTCTGCCACTGCAGAGTTAATGTGTCCATTTAGTGGACACATTAACGCACTAAGTGCAGGTTCATTACTGCTACTCGTTTCTCTACTCTCCTGCTTTAGCTGTACCACCCAGTCGTCACATTATACAAAGAATCTCTTTGGCCACCCTTTTCATGAACTGTAACTAACAAAGTGTGGACTTTTCACCCTGATTCACCTGTTATTTCAGGTCTCTGACTAACCAGTCCTCCTTAAAATCAGTCCTCTAGGGCCACTAACCTGCAGGTTTTAGAGGTTTCTCTGCTCCAATACAGCTGATTTCCATTGATAGCTGATTATTAGGCTTTTGCTGAACTACAATCATCCGAATCAGCTGTGCTAAAGCAGGGAAACCTGTAAAACCTGCAAGGCAGCGGCCCTTCAGGATCTACTCTGGGCATGCCTGGACTAAATGGATCTCATCCTAGGTTTTTATTTCATACTGAGCCCCGTGAGCTTTGTGGCTGAATTTTGGAAATTATTCATTTAATCCTGAAGATGTTCTTATGCAGGTTACAAGTCAAATTATCAATAGGTCGGCAATACAGAGAGCAAACATGCTACCTTTAGCCTAATGGTTACGAGAAACATTTCTAAACTGGGCTAAATAAAACAAAAAAAATAGGTGCAAGATGCTTAGTGAATAATGTAACTGTAATACATCGATTAAGATAAATCTCTACAAAGATATAAACCTGCCTGTCAGAACATCGTAGTGGTCTCCTTAACAATTAACCTCATGTCGGACCAATATTTTCAAAGTTTCTTGCAGAACCTGCTCCAGGCAGTTCTACGTACTTGGACCCAGAACAATCATTTGATCTTCTTGAGCAGTTTTTTTTTTATAGCTGTCCTCAGTTGTTTGTGTTGTCAGTCAGAAACCTTTTGGTTTAGCTACTTATTCCCTGGTTGTTTTTTTCTGTTGTCTCTCACCTGCTCACTTAAGACGAGTGGTTGATGCAAAAGGTTGTTTCTGAACATTTGGGACAGAAGATACACAACCAACAAAAGAATAGAGGGACATATTCTAATCAAAATGTTACAAAAAAGCATCTGTTAAAACATTCGGAGCCAATTTATCAGCAAATGCAACCAGCAAAGGTGTTTTCCAAACTGTGGAAGGCATCTAATTTGTTGCTGGCTTTAAAATAACCTGGAGCTGATATTTCCTGTGGAAATCAAAGATTTAATTTTTCAGAAGTGCAAAGCACACCTTAACCAATTTGCACTTTAAAAATGTTACTGCCAGCCCTTTTTTTTAAACCCATATCATAGCTGCTAATGAACTGAGCTGCCATTTTAGGAGAACCCATAAAGGTGAGAGAAGGAGGTGAACAATTTAACGCTTAACTTTGGTGCAGTTCAGATGTATTCTTTTTTGTTTCTTTGCAGATTCTCTGTATCTGTTAGTCTAGGCAGCAAAATCAGTTCCTGGGGGGTCTCTGCTAAAGTGTGACCTTCTTCAGGGAATTCACGCAAAACAAAAGCATAAACACTGCATAACATATTTTCTTAAATGGTGTCAAAGGAATCCCAGTTGAACTGATAATGTTTCCAGGCATCCCAGCTTAATCATGCATCTTCAGCTCACCTCTCCCTGAGCTGCTCAGAGTTTTTCTCCATGCTCTCGTTCTCTGCAAACTCCATCAGCTCGCGGGCGGCTCTGCCCATGTTGACAGCAGTGGGCCTGGCTGAAGTGAGGTGACACAGGGACTCCCTGATGAATGTTACAGGGTCGTCGCCCCCAGCACCCGCCCGCAGCTCCACTGCCAAGCTGAGGCAGCCCACGATGGCAATGGCAGGAGCTCCTCGCACCTAGAAACGGAGGGAGAGGGTGGTTGTCACACCAAACCTGAGAGAGGCAGCCAGTGGTGAAAAGCACTGTTAACAAGTGACTAAAGAGCTATGGATCTGTCAATACAGTTCTAAAACTACAGCTCATGAGCTTGGAGCAGCAGAACGCAAACAGATCAACTGATTAAAAAGCTCATTAGTTATTAAAAAAAAAGAAAATTAAAAAAACTATCCACTGGATTTTGTTTCCAAGTTTGAAGACGTTTCGCTTCCCATCCAAAGGGGCCCTTTGTCCATCTTAATTTGCATGTTTTCAAAACAAAAAACAAGTCTTTGTTGGGCTACTGTATAAAACCTGCAACTCAAAGCTATTCCTGACATTTTGAATTGAAAAAGCTTCTTGGATGGGAAGTGAAACATCTTCAAACTTGGAAACAAAGTCCAATCGATTGTTTTTAATTGTCTTTTTTTGGAACGACTATGACCTGGATGACTGAGAATGTTCACCAGCACAAACTCATATTAGCTTGCAAAACTCCTAGTTTTACTCCATTTGAAAAAAACAGACAGAACAGATTTATCACCAACAGTTTGGTGTATTTTAAGAATTTATTTATTTTGATTATTAAAGCAAATTAAAATCCAAAGTTCTGTTTGTTATATGACCAACAAATATTGATTCATAAAAGTGAAGTTTCTGTACTACTGAAAAGTATTTCCATGTATTGTAGAATATGTTCTTCCAATGCTCCAGATGAATGACTGGATCAATGCAGTGTGCAGCAAATCAGCCTGAGGTTCAGGGTTCACAAGTGTTCACCACTACCCTCTGTAGAGTTAAAGAAGTGTTCTTGCTGATTAACTTTGAAAGTGAGTCGGGTTGAACTCTGTTCACTTTAAATAAGAAGCAACAGCAGGATTCTAAAGGGGTCTTGTATTGTTTATGAAGGGAATGTTTAATGAAAATAATAAGCAAGATTTCTTTTCTTCTCCTACAGCAGGAGTCTCAAACTGGTTCCACAAAGGGCCGTATGGCTGCAGGTTTTCTGTCCAACCAAGCAATAGCTCACCAGACTCCATTCACCACATGAAGTCATCATGTTCTGATTGGAGTCAGTTGATGAGACGACTGCAGTCTGGTGCGCTATTGCTTGGTTGGACAGAAAACCCGCAGCCACAGCGTCCTTTCTGGAACCAGTATGAGACCCCTGCCCAACAGGGAGGCTACATTTACTGTTGAATTAAAACAAAGTGGACTAACAGCAGAAAATGACATGAAATGTCCCCTCACTACTGATCAACGCTTTATTTTAGTCCAGCTCACAATATAACCGCTGTAGTGTGGTGTGTCTGTGTGTGGAGTCTCAGTAAACCCTAATACAACTTTTTCATTTACCATACAATTGCAGCTTTGAGTTCCTAAATGCCTGTATTGACCCGATACGGCATCACCACCAATCATTCCCTACTATTTTGCAGTGTGGAATGTTAGAACACTTAAGCAATATTACTTAAACTGAGAACAATGGTCAAACAACAGTAGATACGATAACTGGCATGTTTTTCATTAACCAATATATTAGATACATTTCAAACAGAATTGAAGAGAAGTGGAGTGTTTTCATCCAATCGATAATATCTGAAATTTTAGACGTAGCGCAAAATATTCCAATTAGGGCTGAAACAATTAATCGGATTAATGGATTATTGAAATAATTGTCAACTAATTTAGTAATCGATTAATCATTAACTGGAATGTAAAGACTGAAAATATACATATGTCATGCTGCCTGGAAAAGTTGAGATTAAGATAAAAAAAAGTTTAATTTCGCAATAAATCTTTAAGGAACCTTTGGTTACCTGATCATAAATTAACTAATCGAGAAAAAAAAATTGACAGATTATTTGATTTGCAAAATAATCATTAGCTGCAGCCCTAGTTCCAATACTGAATTTTTAAATACACACATTTTTTGGTACATCATGTAAAAAAAATTAATGTTATTAATATGTTACTTATATTCACTTCAATTCTTAAACAATAACTCAAATCCATAGAGGGCTGATTTAGTGAAGTAGATACTTTTAGAGTACATCATTTTGTATATTTATAAAGACGCGTCTCTGTAACACATTCCAGCCACTGACAAAGCTATAGCTTGCATTAAGAAAAAAATAACAAAAGAAACCCTTGGTAAAATAGCTCGTAATGTGTAAAATTTTAACAAACTAAATTTCACTAAAAACTTTTTATGCTTACTTAAGGTGCTTCTGATCACCTATTTCCGCCGCCGCCGGGTTCATGGATGCATTATAATCACGTTTCTTGATTACAAGAGATTTATTAAAACCTTGGCCCATGACTTAACCGTGGATTGCCAACTCTGCTTCCTGTTTACGACAGCCAATTGTAACGTCAACGTATGACGACATCACATACCCTCGTCAATCTGGTCCCTTGGGTGGAGATATGTCTAATTCTCATTTTGTTTTTTTAAAGACTTGGAAACGAAGTCCAGTGGATTGGTTTTTTGGAATTTCTTTTAAGTCTGAAGACGTTTCGCTTTCCATCCAGGAAGCTTTTTTCAATTCAAAATGTCAGAATTAGCTTTGAGTTTGAAGCTTTAGAGTGGACCAAAACAAAGCCTTGTTTTGGCTTAGAAAAGGTGGTTGAACCAGAAAGGGTCTGCCCCTTAGGAATGGGGAGTTTTTGTTGGCCTGCAATACTCAATACTAGGGATAGGAATAGAAAACCAGTTCCTGTTCAGAACCGGTTCCGTGTGTTCCAATTCCATGGCACCGTTTGGCAGCTCGCTTAACGGTTCTCTCAACTTTTCCAGGCAGCATGACTTAAGTCTTGTTTTTTACGCAAGTTACGCACACGGCATTCAGTAAGCAAGTACGATGTGACCAGGCGTAAGCCTGGAAAAAAAGCAAAAAAAATGGCGTCCCATCGGGTAAAGCGATAGAAAGTTTGGCTTCATTTTAAGGAAGGGAAAGATGGCAACAAGGTGCTTTGCAATCCTTGCAAAGTGGCAATTACATCCACGGGGGTAAATGCATCCAACATGCAGAAACACCTGCGCACACAACATGGCATACATTTTAACGAATGCTGTGTTTTTGATGCTTCCTGACAGAAGCTAAAGTTACGACCAGCATGGAAGGCAACTCTGGTGGTAAGTAGCTAGTTTTCTATCACTGGCTGTGCTTAATGTGGTTCCTAGTAAATCATATGCCATTTTAGAAATAAAACCAATTTCCTACCTCTCTTTGGGGTTATTAAACATGCTACGAAGTTGCTCCGCAGTTCAGGGAGCGAGAGAAAGGGGACGCTTGTTTATTTAAATCAGGGGGAGATGAGTTTATTTCCTGAAATGGTACAGCAACGCTTTTTCATTAAACGGATGCCTTCTCCATCAGATTTAGATGAATGTGATGAGACAGGTAGCCTGGCTGGCTCAGAGGCTGGCAGCTCCCGTTCACTGCCTTCCGTTTTCGCCGAGGCAGGCAGAAATAGGCGAAGGTAGACGAATGTCGCCGTGCAATTACCAAGTTCATTGTTTCACAGAATCGATAAGCGAATCAAAATGGCTTCACAGAATCGAATGGATAATCGAATCGTTTCACAGAACCGATAAGGGGATCAAAATCGCTTCACAGAATCGATAAGGAAATCCGAATCGTGAAAATCGTTTCAATTCCCAACCCTACCCAATACTGGTGTATACCTCTGAAAGGGGGAGTTGATAGGGGGAATTGTTGGCCTGGCCGATTAGGTGAGATGTTCTGGTCCCCTGTTTTATAAACATGACATTACTTTTTCCTTCCACTTAACTTTCCACTAGTATTATGCTGGTATTATTCTCAAAAAGTCAGATTCTTTAAGAGGGAAATTTTGATGCATTTCCTCCCTATGGAGGGTTTCAAATAAGGTTAATGATTAAATTTATTTTAATTATACATATTGCTACTTATGTATAATGTAAACTTTCGAGGTTATTGTTATACCTTTAGTCCCAAATCGTCAAAAAGATTTTTTTTACTGAATAAGTGAAAAAAATCTCTTTGATATTATAATTAGTGCACCTGGATGAGATCATCTCCTGCTCCTGCCAGGATCAGCCCAGAGTGGGAGCAGCAGAAAGACAAAAAAAAGGGAATAACTGCTGCGCTTTAATTCATAACACCGTACTGGATCTTCAATATTTTCCGTTCACTGGAGCTCTATATAATTTCCTGAATACGGGAATGCAGAACTAGAGCAGCCGGAGGTGTCCGTGAATGCAGCACAGGAGCAAAAGGCGAACAAAAAGACCCTGGCAAAGGTCATTAATAATTCATCAGCGATCTCTCCAAAGAAAGGAGATGGGTGGGATAAATCCCGCTTTAAAGCACATGATTTATGTGAACCACAACTATGAATGGAGGCTGGGTTCTCTGCAGGATGCATGCTTCACAACAACAATCAAATATGGAAGAGAGAGGCCGTGAGCGGAGACACATGTGAGGCAGAGCACAATAGAAGCCAAGCTACCTTCATGGACTTGATGGCCTGGTAGGCATTCTGCACCGAGCGGATGTCCTCATAGACGGTCTGGTGTGGCAGCAGCAGCTGGTTGAGGATCTGCAGGGACCCGGACCGGTAGCGGATCGCTTCCAGCGTCATGACCGAAGAAATGGAGGAGGAGGAGGGGTACAAAGAGAGCAGGAGAACGTCTCCCCTTCCAGCGATTATACAGAAATACGGGGAGGGAAAATAAGGGGGTGACGGTTGGACTGGAAGCCTCCACACACCGACAGGAACTGAAGGCGAACCACGTGTTCAACCGAGCAGGAAGACCTGAGCTCCGGATCCACGCCCACCAGAGGACCGCTGCTTGTCAGATTTTATCCAGCTCCTCTCCTCCTCCTCCCTCTTTGTCTGGGGAAATTTCACACTTGCTTATATTATTTACATAACACCAAAATAAAAGCCTTTCTCCACACAGCAGCGGGTCCATGCTGATAAAAAGATCTATTTTGGGATCAGATGTTATTGTTTAGGCCCAACCTGGAATACTGCAATATGAATTCAAATAATGAATATTACACAAAAGAAAAACAGAAGGTATTTTTTTTTTTTTTTTTCCCAAGATAATTTGATCAACTCTTGGGTTTTGGCCAGCTGGACATAAAGACCTTAACACTGCAGAATATCTGAAAAATAAACATTTTATTTCAATGTTTGAAAAATATTAACAGAAAGGGGTGAAGTTTGTCCACTATACCTTTTATTTACACATAATAGATGTTTAAATATATCCGTCTATTTGTTAGCAAAGGCTGCAGAAAATATAGTTTGTCTTTATTTAGAAAATATGAATGTTGTGCTCGTTCCTGTTGGAACAGTGTAGATTGACACTGAGGTTCTGGTGCTTTTCGGCCACCTCTTAATGTACATTGGTTATTGACCGGCCACCCCTATTAGGGTTTTCTGGCTAGGCCTCTGCTCCTTCAAAGTATTTCAAGCTTAGTCATTGGATCGGCAATGAACGGCAAAGTCTTGCCACAGATGATCAATTAGATTCTGGTCTCGACTTTGACTAGGCCTTCCCAATAAAATAATAGTCTCAGATCAAAGCCATTTCTATGGGTCTAGCTCAAATCCAGGATCATCATTCTGGAAATTGAACATCCAACCTCAAGTTGTTTAATCTGTAATGAGTTTTGATGCAGGATTCCACCATATTATAAATATGTATACACACACACACACAGCTGTGTTTTCTATGGGGACACTTCATTTACTTGCATTGATTTTACATGGCCTAACCCAGATCCTTACCCTATTACCAGCATATACCTAACCCTAACCCCAACTCACAGGACAGAACTTTACCACATGGGGACCAGGTGAATGTCCCCATATGTATATTTAAAAAAACTTTAAAGAAGCAGGACAGAATCATCTTTTTTCATATGTTTAATTTTAATTTGTTTTGAAACCAACCTCATACATGACATAATAAAGCCTGACCAATCAGGAACATTCCCACCTTTGAGCAGCACTGAAAACCAAAGACTGAAATATATAAACGGAGCATCTCGTGCTGTACTCAATAAAAAATATATTTATACAGATTGCCCATTCATGACTTGGAATAAAGGAAAAAAAAACAAAAAAACAATGCAAACTATGAGTTTCAACTACAGGATACATTTGATCCAGATTTAAAAAACCAAAAAAACCAAAACAAAACCTTTTTGGACGCAAAGGTTGAAAAAAAAAGGGCGAAGGACTAACCAATTAGCAGAGCAGGGATGAGTGTGTGTGGAGTGTAGTGTAAACACAGGAGAGGAGTGTGAGTCACCGGCAGGAGCAATTTCAGAAATGGTTTTTCTTCTGCCGTCCCACCAGCATGAAGGTCGATGAGTTTGTTGCCATGATAAAGGGACAGCTACAGGCCAGGAGGTTACATGAGGAGTGTTTGTTTAGGATAGCACAGGGTGAAATCTACTGATAAAGATAAAAAAAAAATGCTTTGCTACATGAGGCTACAACAAAGCTATGAAAAGAGCTATAATGTGGCTTTCAGCATTCCCAATAAAAGTAGCTTTATCCCAGAAAACAAAACTTTCCCACACATCCTCTAGAGTTCAGAACATTCCCAAAGTGCCTTTTTAGTTTGACGGACTTTAGCTAGAACAATAAAATACTGTTGCATCTTTTGCAGCTTTTTTCTGCTATGACATCCAGGATACTAGAGAGTATCTTGATGAATTTTTAAATAAGACTTTCCTGTGTGCTGTTTTCAGGCTGCAACATTTGGACACATCGACAGTCATTCAATGATGACTCAGACCTACTGAAAGCTAAAAGGGTGATATATAAAACTCCTCCATCCAACAAGAATTCAGGCAGATGGGAAATTACACTTTTCTTACAATTTGCTCATTTCTGTGTGTTTATAACATAAAAACCTTAATATATAGGTCCTGCCGAATGAGAATTTAGCATTCGCTAACAATAGCATACATTAGTGACTAGTAGCCTTTAGCTTTGGACTTCCAAACACCGGGAGATCCATGCAGCGCACGGAGTACAAGGAGCAACTTCATCAATGATCAAACAGTTAGTCTTTGAATAACACTAGAAATGTACAGCCATAGTCAGAGGATTGCATTCGCTCATCACCAGCATGAACAGCTTTTGATTATGTATCTGAGGAGTTCTGTCAACATGAGGAATTATTTAAATGGATTCAAAATAAGAATTGGGAAAATACGTTTTAAATAAGTGTAGATTTGATCTTTTCGGGTTAAACCCCACAAACATCTGGTAAATTCTTCCTCAGCAAGTTAGACCTCAACTGCATGGCTTTCTGGAGCCATCAACAGCTGTCTGGTGTTATTCTGGCTTTAGAAAGCTCACTCTTAGAAATAGCAGAGCTCATTTAAATAAGTTGGTTGTAAGCATTGACTCTACTTCCTAGGAAAAAAACCCATCAATATCTGAATAAGGTCAAGGCTTAGGTAGGCCACACAGACCTTTTAAAACGGTCAAGCATGGTGGTGGTAGTATCATGTTTAGTTGTACTTTTGTACTGCAGAAAGCTAGTAGAGTAATAAGGGGTGGGCATCTCCAAGTTGTTTACCCTCACCTCACATCAGAAGCTAGAGGTTTAAACTTCGGATGCATGAAATAGAAAATCATAAATGGCTTTGTGATTTCCAAACAGAACATAACGGGCAAGTCAGACATCTAAATGCCCTTGAATTTCTTTAAAAAAAAATCTACCTAGCAAGAATTGTTTGCAACAAACAGCATGATGATTTTCTACAGGTTCCTGAGCAACATTTCTTTAAAATGTACAGAACATTGATGTTAATCCTTCCTTGTTTAGAGAAAATCCAAATATCCCAGCTTGTTCTCATTATACTCAAATACAGTTTCATACTTAAAAATAAAAGAATACCTGCAAATATTACAATGGAAGCCGACTAAAACCTTTAAACCTATAATAGCAGCCCTTGGTGAGCTTCACATGTTTCTGAAATAGATGAAAACCCTTAAAGAAGACCTTTAAAAAAAAGCTAATCCCCAGAGACTGCATTAAAATAAGTCAAAGTCACAGCCATTAAATCTCGCCTAATGCAGAGCTTTGCAGATTAATCGGCATTTAAACCGCACCGCTACATAAATGCATTAGAGACGAACATTAACGCTGTCACATTTGGCCCAAAAGCCTCTAAAGTTATTTATAAGACAACCTCAAATTAATGGAAATCAATAGCTGCCTAAAGGACAGGAAATACATAATTTAAGTGGTCAGTAGGTGAAGTAGGAGAAGGAAAAGCTTCACAACAGTCTCCAAACTCCAGCTTTCACTAAGATTATTTTCTGAGGATGCATGGCAATATATTCTGAACACATGATTATCTCAATGGCCATATGACTGAATAAAAAAAAAGCCTATATGTGAGCAAATGGATACTTTATTCTCATGTGAAGCAGGCTAGGTGCTGCTGCTGATAGGCAACATATTATCAAACAAGAGCAGAAACATCTGCAAGGGGTTTCCTAAAAAAGATCATAAGGCATGGCAGCTCAGTGGTCTGACTGTGGAAGCTGGTGCGATCTGCTGCGTCTCCGCATGTCTCTGGTTTTAAAATATGGTTCAGGGAAAAAAATGGCTTGGACAGGGGGGGTGGATGAGCAATTACCTCTCCATACCAGCACAAATTGGAGATCTGTCCTGTGGACAGAGCAGTCTATGATCTCAGCTGGACAGATATCAGCAGCAGCGCAGTGACACAGCAGCTGCTCATTATTTTCTGATCGGCTGCTGAATTAATTCATTACGGACTGGCAGCATAATTACACTCAAACTGAAAAAGGAGACGTCTAAATACAGATCAAGTCAATTGCTTTGAGTCTCATTTCCTTCTGCACCTTATGTTACCAGGACTGTTCTTCTGTCAGACAACTTATCTCATGACAAAGTACATTGAATACCAACTTCCTGCCTTCAACAAATTTCCAACATCATTTTGGAAGACTAATGCCAGCTTCATTTTTAAAAAATCAATATGACGGGAGTTTGAAATTAGTATCCTGTTGGTTAAAAATTGGAGACATCCACCGTACACCAAAATCCGTAGATTGAAAGAAATTAATTTAAGATGTTGGGGAAACCTAAGAAGCACCAAGTATGGCTAACTGAAAACGACAAACACCAGCATCCCTCTCCACACTGCTCCAAAAGTCACGCCTTCAAACTGTACTGAGAGTTACAGCAAATAGAGCAATAGTTAAGCCAAATAGATTTCTGAGGAGTCTAGTCTTTTATGGTTGTATTTAAAAATCTAAGACTGAACGCTTTGTGGATTAAAAAAATATCAGATATTCAGACCTGGGAACCTAGTTCTGTTAAAAAATAAATGAATGGAGGACTGACATAATATACATTCTATGCATGGTTAGGCCAAGAATTATTAATACATTTAAATTAATGCTTAATCTTAAAGTTTTTTCTGACATTCTGGAGTGACCAAGCTGAAGTCCACACATGAATCAGATAAAAGGAAAGAAACAAAAAATCTATGGAGAGCTGAGTTAGGCTGATGACAAGAGGCCATCCAATGTTAAAGATAACCAGAGGAAGTCAAAGGATTTAATTACTGAAATGCCAATAAAGATTTCTCATTGATTATAGAGAAAATACCATTTTTAAAAAGAGTAAGCTAATGTTTTATTCAAAATGAATGCCCCATCAATCCTGGTTAATTACAAGTAGAAGATGCTCCTTATCTCCTGTTTGTTTAAAACTTTTTAGTCAAAGGAAATTCATTTTAAACCATAAGCTTTAATATTTAATTTATTAATAATTTTAGCCTTGACTTGAATTGGACTAGAACCAAATAAGGAAATGACCCATAAAGATCAAGTAACGAAATAATAGACATGTGATGATGGAGGGATCCTAACAACCAGTTCCCACCTCCCTGACTGTTTCCTGGTGAAAAAGTAATCCTTCATAGGATGTAAGCACCGGGATTCGAAAGCCCTGTTTTGTGTTTCGTTTTCTTTCCTCTCAGTACCAGAAGACTCCAAAAGGAGGAGATTATTGTAATCTGGGAACACTGGTGCAGACAGATTAGATTAAGCTCATTACAAAGGTAAAATGTGACAAGAAAGGGTTAATTCCACCTCATTCCACTTGTTCAGAACACCTCAGAACCCGCAAACGGGCAAAGATATATTTTTGGTCATTAGTGAACACCAAAAGAGCTGGTGTAAAATGTAAAACAAAATCCTTTAATTAATCTCCCAAATCATTCAAATGATTGGTGTAAAAACAAATCTCTGTAGTGTTTTATCTTAATAAGTGCAAAATAATTCAGGTTCTCCTTCCACCCTCTAAAGGCTTCCTTTAGCTTCCGTTGTCCCTCAGTAGATACATTTACCGCCCACTTGTAATACAGGTTGTAAGGAAAGAGAGGAAGCAGGTCGGCTCATGCAGTTGTCTCGGTCATGAGCATCGTCTCATCCAAGCTGCGTTTTGTAGCGTCTGGTGGCAAGCATGAATGAAAGAGAAAACAGTACTCCAGCCACGTCTCCACCTCACCATCCTTTCATCCGGTGCGTTTTCTTTTTAGAGATTCCAGCTTGAAATTAGAAAGAAATATAAATACATATTTTGCTCATAAAAACATCTTAGACTGCTGCTGAGGTCTTTGACAGTCGTCCTTACCTCGCTCTCTACCATCTTCAGCCTGCCCAGCGCATCCTTTGCAGCTTCCTGGTGAATAAACAGAATGAGCATGTTTACCAGAAGAGGGAACACAACATATCGGAGAACTCCCCCCACAACTCTGACCCTTGCACTCACCCTGTTGCCTTGGCTGGAGTATTTCTTTACAGAATCAGAAAGTCCTTGGACAAATCGCCGCAGCACGTGTTCATACTCTGTACATGCCATAAAAACACAGGTCACATGCTTATCAATTACTGCATTATTAAATATTTCAGCACACTCATTTAAGAGACAGCAAAACTGGACATATTTAATAAACAAAGAAAAGAGAGAGGCAGTGAAATGTCCACATGTCATGTTTTAAAGGATTTTATGAGAAAGACGAGCTGTTCCGAATACTGGAGGAGGAGAGCAAAGACAGAAAGGGGAACATGAGGAAGATTTTAAAAATTTAAGAAAGAAGGGGAGAGGCAAGGAGGTTAGGAAGGAGGTCAGGAAGGAAGGAAGGAAGGAAATATAGCAAATTAAGGAAATAATGAAGGGAAGGAGAAAAGAAAGATACCAAAAAGGAAGGAAAAAATGGAAATTAAGAGGGAACACATGTATTGTTCAGTATACTATAACAGTGTTGTTTCAACCCTGGTCCTTAAAGCACACTGTCATGCAGGTTTATCACACCGGTTTCAGATGATTGCCTTTCAACTAAGGCCATCAATCAACCATTAAAGGAACTAAGCTGTGCTGAAGCTGGGAAACATTTAAACCTGCAGGGCAGTGTGCCTTAGGTGATATCTTACGCTATAGCCTCCAGAAAACTCCCATAATATTACAGCCTAAGAACCACGCTGAAGAAAATTCAGTTCAGTCCAGGAATCCTTTGTCTCAGTTTGCAATCAGACAACAGCTATAGCAGCCAACAGTTTAACCTCCTTGGGATCTTGTGGTATTTAATGTTCCCTTAACACGACCAGCAATCAATCACCAAGCAGCCCAGATTAATAGAATAACATTGTTCAAATCACAGCAGTCTCCCTGCTGAGCATCAGGATCTCAGTCTGATCCGTCTAAAAACAGTTCTCATTTAAGAAGCTAAGCTTTCTTCCTCCATATCTTCAACTCAACTAAATAAACAGGGAGACCTGAGTTTCATAATTTTTTTTACATTATAAGTACGTACAGTCACAGTATGTACTTCTAATGTACACAGTACAAGAGAAAGCTTACTCCAAAGAAAATCTATGAAAAATATCAAACACAAAGAACAAATAAATCATATGAGATCTTTCACTGCTCATTACTTATATTAGTAAGGTTTAATAATTTTGACAGAGCCTGATTAAGTCTGTTCTGTCTGATTATTGGATAAACCGCTAAGCGATGAATCTGTACTACCTGTCAGCAGAGCAGGAGAGGCGCGCTCCAGCTGCGCTTTCTGCCACTGCAGCCTGTGCAGGACGTCTTTGTGTTGATGAATGAGGTCAGCTGGGGGATCGCGATGGTTTTTCCGGTAATCTCCAATCTGAAAGACGACATCAATGAGCAAGCAGACCTCTGGTAAAAAGCTGTCACGGACAGGCTCGGCTCACACAAACCTTCCTCTCCAGCCGCTCCTTGTCGTAGTTGAGGAGGCTGAAGCTGTGGAGCTTGTACTGTGGAGGAGAGTTGCTGGAATGACTGCTTCTGCCGCTCGATTCGTGTTTGGGTTTAGATCGAGGAGATGGAGCCTGATTCCGACAGAAGGGAAAGATCCAAAGCACTTTTAGTAACGTGAATCATTCAAATCAACAAGTGGAGCCATCCATCCTCAAACATACTTCCTCAAAGCCTTTTTCCTTTAGCAGTGACCAGTAAACACTAACTAACTATTCATTTATTTTATAGCCTCTAACGATTACCCTCCATTTATACACCATTTATAGTCAATGCATACATATTCCCTGTGCACATGTAAATAAATATTTATATCCTGTATAGCACTTCTGCATAGATGCAAACTACATTTCGTTGCTTTGTACTTGTGACAGTGTAAAGAAAATAAAGTTGAATTCCATTCTATTCTATTCTAAGCAGCAGTATGGTTGAAACAAAAGAGCAGGCCACCTTAAACACTAAATATTTATTTTACGATTTAAAAAATAACACGATGCTGCTAATACTATAAATTAGTGTGCTTTAATTTACTGAATTAAGTCATTGAAAATTCTATAAATAAAATGAATAGTTTTTACTGTCTGAGAATTTTTTTCCCCCAAGATTGGATTATTTATTTAAGATTATTTTATTTGTGTTTAAGTCTTTAAATGGCTTGGCTCCTCCCTACCTCTCTGAGCTTCTCCACCCCCATGTTTCCACTGGGTGCCTAAGGTCAGCTGTAATGCTGCTCCTGCAGGTACCAAGGTCCAAATGCAAGCTCAGAGGAGACAAAGCTTTTTCATTTGCTGCTCCAAAATTGTGGAATGAGCTCCTTCTCCTCATTAGACAATCCTCTTCACTGTCTATTTTTAAAACTCATCTTAAAACCTATTCTTATTCTTTGGCTTTTAACACAGCAAATGACTCTCTCTGTTTTTGCATTTGTGGTTTGTTTTATTGTTTTGTATTTGTTTTATTCCTCTAAATGTCTGTTGTTTTTATACAATTTTAACTTTACCTGATATGTACAGCAATTTGTGGCAGGTGTTGTCATTTTAAAGGGCTTTATAAATAAAGTTGAGTTGAGTATTTTCTTAAAGGTTTGGTGGCCCTGGTGCAGTTGTAGAACTCACAATAAATAAGTGAATGGAAGCTTTCGGGAGCGCTATAACTGTCATTTGGCTCTAAAATAACAAAGAAAACAAATGTTGCTAATTAGTATACAGAAAAAAAAAACAATTTAGGCATTAATCTTAATGGTAGATGACTGCTCTTAATGCTATCTCTGGTAGGTGTCAAATATGTACCAGCAGACCTTGGTGGCCTACATGCAAGGGCTGCAACTAACGACTATTTTGCAAAGCGATAAATCTGCCGATAATTTTTTCGATTAATAATCAGATAGCCAAAGGTTCCTTAATAAGATTTTTTAGGAAATGAAACCAGCTAAAACTAAAACTTTTCCACTTGAGGAGTTCTGGATAGAGCAGACTGACAGATGATTTTTTTTGTTTCTTAAATGCAAAAGGTTTACAACTTTTGATATAATTACTGCTCTAAGTGGGTTGCTCTGTCAGCTAAAGGCATGTTTTAGAGTTACTACATTCCAAGTAACGATTAATTGATTGCTTAATTAGTTGACGATTTTTTCAATAATTGATTAATCATGATTAATCCAACAAATTTTTTTCAGCCCTACTACGTGCACCATCTTGGCTGTTTGGGTGTTTGTCTATTTTTGGCAGAAGTCAGAGAGAGGTTGACATATTTCAGGGATTAATTGTGCTGCATTGTTTTCTTAGTCTCCGATTTTCTTTGTTTCAAATCATCAGATATATACCTTTATAACCACCGTCATCACTACCCTTTCCATCATGGTTTTGATGCATGAAAACAGTCTTCATGTTAACATTTTCTTTCAAACTGTTCAATGATCAACTACTCACCCACTCCCTTTGTTTCTCTGGAGGGGAGAGCGTCGGGACCAGCTCCAGAACATACCACTTATCTGTCGTTGGCTGCAGGTCCACCCCAGAGAGAGGCTCTCTGATCTTCACCCTCACCTCCAATTTTCCACCTGTAGCTTTACGACCATCCATCACCTACCAAGATACACACCCACTCCCTCTCAGAGAGATTTGAAGCAAATGCATGGTCGTGTAAACCTTACATTTAATTAACCCTTACTTCTATGATCTCTCTGATCTCGCAGTGGTTTTCCAGAGCCTCTAGCTTCAGCTGAGCAGTACCCACCACTTTATCGGTCTTAAATAGACCTCTGCAGGAACACACAGGGATGAAAGAAAGGTAAACGGTATAAGATACAGAAGCCATAGATTTAAATCTCATAGGAACCTAGAGAAAGCGCTTTTTCATAATTTTAAGGTTAAGTTCCTTTTTAAATGTGGTTGCATTTGACACTGCATCCAAGCATGCTTTGGTCAAGAATAACATGTTGTTGGTGTTCTTGTTATGTCCCCAAATATTGCAGATTTTTTTGAGGAAAGAGAGGCCTGCAAGGACATGCTTTGCATGAATTTGGCTGGAAGATTAGAACAGCAGCAGTCAGTGAGGTTCTACAAGTCAGACAGTTATCAACATGGGAAAATGAACAATAAAAAAACCGATTGATATTTACCTGCTAATTTGCATTCACATCAACAGGGAAGAGAAGTCCAAATATGTACACTCCCTCTGTTTCTATATGGACTTCATTCTTTTACTTACTTTTAAAGCTTTAAATAATTCGGCACATTACAATTAAACCAAGATGCTCCAGGTAAATAAACCCAAAAGAGCACTTAGATCATCAAGACAGACACTCTTAGGGCAACTGGGCTCTATTTAAAGCATAATTTAGGAATCAAATTCTGAACCGACTAGCTAATCAATAATAAACTATAAATGTACAGCCTTTCAAACTGCATCTGAACATGTTTTTGTAGGTCAGTCTCATTAGCACTTGTTGTTGTTTTCTTGTTTCAGCTGATTTTATGTCATCATCCTATCCATGGCTAGTCTTATGTTATATTCAGTCGTATTTATTTCTAGAAAGCAAGGATTCTTTTTCTCTTTTCCTTTTGATTCTCCATGTCTCTCTAAAAGATGTCTTACAAATAAATAATTATGATGTATTAATTTTACCCCTTGTGGACAATTTCAAACTTGATGCCTTTGGACTGAACGACCCGTTTAAATCCTCTGTGGGCTCGGTTAATGTTGAGTTTGAACTGCTCTTTAAACTCTGGGCTGCTGGTGTTCTTCACGGTGCCGGTTTTGTCCCTCTGGGCGTCCTCCTACACACAAACACACGATTCAGCAAAGTTTCACCGGTTTGCTCTAAGTAAAAACAACCAAGAGAGAAAAGAAAAGCGTCTCACCGAGCTGGGAAAAGGAAACTCAAATTTTACGCTTGCATCCAGATCATTAGGAGAGACACCTGTAGAGTTAGAGTTTGGTGTAAAAGGCCACAGATTTACCAGATTACATGGTGATCAGCTCAAGGATGCATTTGTTTTCTGTACCTGACGGAGCTGGAAGGTTGACGCCTCGGATGATGTACAGTACCAGGTCATTAGGAGACAGGTCAGAGTATATTCTATATAAACGACAAACAACCATTTAGAATATGAGCCAATTTATCATGCACGTTGAATGAGTCACACAGCTTTTAGCCTGATATGATACTGGAACAGAGACACACTGAGTCACTCTGATTCATCTCTCATCCAGTGAGGTAAAGTAGCCCATTGGCTGGGCTAAAACATATTTCACTAAATTAAAATGCTTCTGCATGATGAGAAAATTTAACATCAAGTTTAATCTAATAGAACTTTTAGATGTTGTTGTCTGACATATTTTTCCAAATCTTTCACTCAATCTGATCCCTAAGCCATACCACTCAATACAAAGTGGCCTTCTTTTCCCTAATCTTAAAGGGGAACACCGTTTTTTTTTTTTTACATTGGGCCCTTGATTTTACGTCATTACATCATGTTCTACTCACCCAAATTAGTTTTGTGTTATTTGGAGCTGTTCTGAAGATATTCGGTTTTATTTCCAAGTAACGTCTTCCTATGGGCAACGAATTGAAGGCACAAACTAAACTGCTCATAATTTATTCTTTATGGTACGCCAGCATTCATAACATGTAGGCGAATCACTGTCCCCCAGACATCCGCGGTTATATTTTTTTATATTTATATGTTTTAAAAACAAAGCGGAGTGTGTATGATGTCATCCGCGCACGCTCCGGCTACCGTTCATTCATCCTGTCCGCTGAACTGCTGCTAGTTTTACTCACATGCCTGGAAGATGTCTAGTGCTACTAACACAGATGATCTCGCTCTCGAAATGAATTCAACTATTCAGATTAGCTAGCCAAATGAATAGAAGGGGTAGAGCGTAGCTGCCTGTCACATGACTTGCACATTTTCCAAAAACTCAAGTCACTCCTCTCAGAAGTTTATGTTGTCCCTACATCACTCATGGCTCATCACAATAAAACAAGTTTACATAAAGATACATTTGCACAGTATTATAAAGAACGAAACCATGTTCCTGAAATTAAGGTACAAACTACAACCCATGTATATGAGTCTGCCTTACAAGTTCTGAAATGATTCAAAGATGGATTCAAACTTAAGAATCCTGTTAAGTCCTTCCATACAAACACTAAATATTGAGCAAAATCTGAAGAGGAAAAAAGAGGTTTACTTTGGAGAGTTGAAGGTTCTCTCCTGGGTGTGGCACTTGGGGACTGGCTGACCGTTGGCATGGGCATTCTTCAGCATCTCTATGTACTTCATGGTCTCTTCAACAAGTTTCTCAGTCCTAAAGGGAGGGCAAACAGAAATGAGACTCCCACACAAACACTCATTGTATAAAACCCTGAAGTCTGCAGAGCTAGTGGTCAAAGTGTTGTGTGACAAAGCGCAATAATTTTTACACCTAAACACAGGTGTAGGCTGATATATGCCAATATTTGTTTTTTGGGTTAATATCAAACCTATTTTCAAACTATATATAGGATTGGGGCATCCCTGGTAGATTCTCTTCAGCAGTCTGTTATCCCCTAATCCTCATACCTAAACCTAACTTTCAAGTCAACAGTCATAAAAAATCTTTGAAACTTTGATCCTGTCATCTGCTTTTTTTCCATTGCAACTAGCTGGATTATTAAAGGGTGGAGAAAAAACAAAAACCACACCAGTTACGGTGATTTGCAGCCTGAAATTATTTATTTATTTATTTTTTTTAAAGGCAGGACCCTTAAGGACTGTGGCTTAATCTTACGAGATGAGTGTCATGGGAAAATGCCTATGATATGTTTCAGGCAGCCGGCAAACACTCTCTGTAATGTTATAAAACGTGAAAGAGTTAAATCCCTGTCAATCCAGTGAACCAGAGAGCTTGCAAATACTAGGAAAAGGTGAAAGCTTAGTTACTTTTATTGGACAAAATTACATGAAAGGAGAACATTTGAAGTCCTGTATATCAATAAATGAATGAATACAATCAGGAGAAGTGTTTCTTACTTCAAAGCCTCAGGTATGTTTCCCATGAGAGTGAACTGCTGACAGAGATCTGAAAATTTCTGTCCAAGAAGACACAGAAGAAACAAGATCACTGATGACAAAAAAAAATGTTTGCAAAGCAAGAAAAATTGTTTTTACCAAAAAACAAAACAAATGAAGACCTAAAGATTTTTAGTTTTATGATAACATGAATTGATTGCTGTGTGAATAATAAAAGTGAGACTTCTTAGGAAAAAAAGAAAAAAGAAAAAGATTTTAACCTTATGTTGATTTCGTAAGCGGTCCATGAGGTCGTGGTACTTTTCACTGGAGCGAGGGGAGACAGGAGAGGTCCGGGAGCGACCCAGGGAATAATCCTCCTCACTCACTGGAGCACTTGGAATCTGTATGAAAGAGGTGAGAAGCTGTGACCATGTGTATGGATTAAAAAAACAAAACAAAAATCTCCAAAAGCAAAAGAGTAATGAGTACAATAAAACCAAAAAGGCACTCAAACAAGAACTGCATCTTTAGCAACTAAACTTTTACCACACATGTCAAAACTGTGAAGCTGAAAGTACTTTTGGGCGTCATAAATTTCAACTTGCTTTACTTTTTTTTTCTTAAAGTTGAACATATTTAGTTTCAGCAGCAAAATCAGTAAAAGTCACTCTTTCTCTAATTAAACAGGGTTGCATTCAAGTTTGTGTCTGGGCAAAGGTTTCTTGACATCTATGGTCCTATTTCCTTTAGAAACTTGCTATGCTTGTTCTAAAAGGAAAATTTAGGAATTGCTGTTTTTCACACTAAAATGAAAATTATTGCAAGGGTTGCATCCTGCTTGCAGGCGTCTCTTTGAACACTTAAAATTAAAACAAACTTATTTACAGCACATTATATTTGAAAATCAATTCAGTGAATTGACACTTAAGACATCCTGTTGAAAGTAAGAGACAGAACCACGGCATTGTGGGTAACTCAATGGAAAGTTAAGTCAGGGTAATCAGTGGGTTATTTCAATAAAAGTCAGATATTCTAAAATAAATCCCTTGGGGCGAAAATAATGTAGGACTGATGCAGTATAAACACCTACCAATAAAGCTTCCCATCTGATGCACCAAAGTCACCTTAAAACACAAATTTTTTTAAGGAAATATCTTCATTACCTTTGTGATATCAATGGGTAGGCCAGACTTTGCAGCTGTGATCATGTTGTCCAGTCCCTTGGCGTTCCTGAGGTGCTGCTTTGCTCCAATCATGTCCTGAAAACACCCAAAGCATCAACGAATCATTGCTAACTAAGGCAGAGGAACACATAACAGGTGAAAAAACATAACACAGTATAACTCACCTTCACTTGTTTGGAGCGAAGCGCTGCACGCATAAAGGCCTGTCGCCGTAGCAACAGGAAGTCCACCTGCTGCTGGGCTGAAAACATAAACGGATCTGCTCACTAAATGTATTATCACTGGTATAAAAAAAAAAAAAAAAAAAATCACAGACAGAAGCAATAACTTAAAACTAAAGTCTGTCATACATTCAGTCACATTCATGCCTCTTATTCTGACACCCATAAAGAAACCTTTAGAAATCAACTAATTTGTAAATAGATGTTAAATAGTATAAAACCAGCTGTTCTATGAATGCTTTCAAGATTTCATCCTAAAAGACAAACATAGCAAGCAGGTCAGGAAGAGATTCTTACAGAAGTCACAAGCACAGTTACACTATAAAGCAAGACCTAAAGCTTTGAAAATCTCACAGAGCTCTGATCAATTGATCATCTGAAAACTGTGGCTGAGAGACTGTGGCTAAACTGTGAGAACAATCAACACATAACTTTCCAGCAGAACTAGCAGGCTGGGCAAGGAAAGCATTGACTAAAGAAGCAGCAATCACTTTAATAGCAACTCTAAAGAAGGAAACATCTGTACTAAATATCTATAATTGGGACCAAATATCAACTATGGTCTTCATAGAAGTGTAAGGGCAAGAAGAAAGCCACTCCTGGAAGTATGACAAACCGTTTTATGATTGCAAGCATCTGGTTAAGTTTTAACTCTGTTGCAAAAAGGAAACGGGACACGGGAAAGAACATAATTCTCAGGATGTGTATTGACCTACCTTGGGTGCTGACATACAGAATTAAACGTGGAAGGTATAAAGTCGCACATGGGAAAAGTTCCCAGGTTGTGTTTATTTTAGCATTGCAGACACTGAAGGTAAAAATGCAGAGATTTTAACAGACCTTTAGCTCCCAGCTTTGGAGCTGAGGATCCAGCGGGGACTGGGGGAGCTGGAGACTTTGCTTTCTGCACAGAAGGACGCACTGCAGGCTACAGACAAGAAAATCATAAAACACTCATAACTCTACCAGCAGATGTCTGGGTGACAGCTTTGTTACTTTAAGCTGAGTTAGGACGAGAGATGTAGTCAACACATGGTGCACTAATATAAAAAGCATTTTTTTTGTAAATACTGCCTTAGTATAGGTGGTCAAAGACTCCTGCAGTGGGTGGGAGCTGCCAAACAGAGAACAATACTGAAGGAAAAATATTCCTTTGAAGCTGCAGGAGCTAAAATGGCTCACAATGAAGCCTTTACTTCCTCTAATCCACAGACAATCAAGATTCCCTGGCCGCTCTAGAACAATTTGGACATTTGGCACAGCAATCCGTTTATTCCCACCTTAGCTGCCTCTTTTTGTCCATCCTCATCGTCATCCTCTGCGTCTGCATCCTGATTTGCTATTTTCATAGCCGTTTCTAGGACACCTATCAGGTTCTGCTGACTCCCCTCTGAGCCCTGGAGAGGTGGGCAGCCTGGATAAAGGACAAACACATACAAATTAACCTTTCTAATCATGTAACTGGAGTGAAACCTGAAAAAAAAAAAAAAGTTCTGAATGTTACCAGGAGGAATAGGCAGATCAGAAAGGTTGACGGGTCGTCCTGCATTGTGAGCTCTAATGGCATCCTGGTATTGCTGTTAATAGCGAGAGTGACAAGGAAAAAAAAAGAAACATGGATGGTAAATTGAGGCTCCCAACTAAAAAGTGAACAATTTAATAATCATAATTGTGACATTAACACCAAATTGAAGGAAATAAGTGGTTGTAAGGGTGAAAAAAAAGCATAAATGACAAAGAATTTATGTAAAACAACAGCTGAAATAATGTTAATATATAATAATAAAAAATATAGCATTTTAAAAATAGCTTTACTAGTATAAATATGAGAAATGTGTTTGGAGAAACAGCAAACTCTGCAATTTGCCCATTTTTGTGCACACCTTCATATCTGATATAAACTTAGAAAGTAAACTGCTCTAACAACATGCAGATGCAATCAGGATTTCACACCCTGCTGATATGAGCAATTGTCAACTAATTTTTCCATCAGATCACTGTTTTAGGAGCTTCAACCAAAGACACAACCATAAAAGTGATGAAAGACCATATCCAACAGTGAGGTCCAAGTCCTGGATTAACGCGGCAATCCTTTACTCATAAAAAAACAACAACAGCTGTTGGTTTAAAGCAGGAAACATGTCTTTTTAAACCAATAGGTGCCATGGATAGTGTTAATACACGTCTACAGTTACATAAAAAGGATTAAATTGCTTTATTGACCTTGAATAGTTCTTAATTTCTTTTTTTACTGTGCATTTGCTTGCCATCTTCATCTGAGCCTGGTGTTTGTTCATAGCATATTTTCCCAACTTTAACGCGCATTTTTATTTTCATAGTTTGGCCAGGGGTGCGACTTATACTCTGGAACGATTTATGTGTGACATTATTAACACATTACTATATAATTTCACATGTTTTCACACTAAAACGCAAGAGGGCGCTCTAGGCTTGTGTTGATAATTTCAACATTGGTGTTAACTTCTAAAAAACAACCGGGAAGGGCTTATAAAATATGATCCGAAAAGAAAATCATAATCTGCAGATTACTGCAGCTGAAAACTGTATCGAGCAGCAGGATGAAAGTTTTAAGTAAACCGAGTTCTTTAAAAGCGACACAAAGGATGAAGATTTCATTGGATTTAGTAATTTGGAGTGACAAGGATGGTTTGATAAACTTGTTAGCATGTTAATTTATGCTATAGTTATCTGAATAACTCTTAATATGTTAAAATACCAGGCCCGTTCTCAGTTCGTTGTTTATGTGTCATTTAATGTTAGCATACCATACAATTATTCAGCCTGTTATTGCCGTAATTCTATTTTTATTTTAAATTGCCTTTCACGATGACATGTCTGTTCTTGGTGTTGAATTTTATCAGATAAATTTCCCCCAAAAATGCGACTTATATGTCTTTTCCTTCTTTATTATGCATTTTATGGCTGGTGCGACTTATACTCCGGAGCGACTTTTAATACAGAAAATATGGTAATTAGTTCTTTGCACTAATATGCATTGGAGGAATCTTTTTGAATGTTCTGCAGTTAAACTATTTTCAACAGGAGACTGGGCACATTTTAGACAAGTTAAGTGCTTAAAATATTTGCTATTTGCAAAATAAAATAAAAATCAGACACACAAAACTAGAGGAAAGGATCAAATCTTCTAAAACATCTTACAGAATGTGAGGCTGCTTGCTGGCAGTGATGTCTAACAGCTAAGCAAGGTAAAACTGCATTAGCACATACAGTACACATTTGTCAAGCAGATAATTCTATAAGACAATCCTTTTTTATATGCACTATGGAAAATAAAAAAGAAAAATGCTCAAAATGATGTTGAACTTATTTTATTATATTAATTAAAACTAGAAAATAACTTTTTAAACTTTCTTGAATGTGTTAAAAAAAAAGCATTATTTATTTAGCTTGTCGCCGCAAAAAGTGAAGTGCAAAACTCTGAGGTTAAATAAGTTAGATAAGACCAAGAGTGGGTTTGGACTATTATTATGAGAACTACCTTTAACGCATTTCCAAACAACATAACATTTGTGCAGGGTGTTTAAAACTCTGACCTAGGTGAAATTTGACAGAATCACCCATCCAGGGTATTTAGCCAACACTATAGATTATAGGGAAAGCTAAAGACTGTCCAGTCAAGTTTCCACTGAGTGACAGAGGCAAAACAAACAAAAGCATATGACATAAATAACAAATTGAATGTTTTATGGTTTCTTTAATTCTGCTTCAGTAAGCTTGATGAAGTATCTTTAAAAGAGGAAAAAACATAGGAGAGATTGCCTTAAAAACAATGCAGTGGTTACCTTCATAATGCGCTGGTGCATGCGAGCCTTCCGATCATCTCCTTTGCTCTTAGCACCCTCTGCTGCCTGCTTGTAGATTTCCAGCCTCTGTTTCAGCGCTTCTGCCACACTGGTGGGGGCAGGAAGGTCTTTCAAAAGAACAAACATAAAATAAATAACAATGTTGGCTCCATCAAACATAATTAAGATATTTAAACAGCTAAAAAAACAAAAAAAACAACAAAACAACATCATCTCAGCCCAGCTTAAGCACTTAATATTACCTGGTTATTCATTTCTGTTCTTCTAATAGGCGTTTTATTATTTCATGTTTTGCTTTAAATTTACCATGCGTTAAATTCTATTTCTTCATATTTTGCCAACCAAATGTTAATTTCTGCATCTGCTCAGAACTAATCAATTGCTGATCATTAATGTCTGAAATCATGTAACACAATAAAGTGGAACTCATGGATTACCAAACATTGGGGTCCTCCATACTCTGTTTTTTATCCTATGTTTTAACTAAGCAATCCACTTTAAAAGGCACTCAATTATAAAGAAACTTTCAGTCGGAAATTACAAGACAGCAATTGTAGATAAATGTATTTTTAATTTTTATTGCAATCACAGTATTTCAAAAGCACCATAAAAAAAAAGAAAAAAAAAAGGGAACTTTACTGTT